GCACGGGCCGATATCGAGGCCTTCGATGATGGCCGGTTTTGACGCAGCCGCCAGCTTCGCAAAGTCATCTGACGACTGAATCTGCACCCTTGCGATCTGGGTAGTACGTGCAGTAGTAGTAGGTCTCTTCTCCACACCACCTTTCTGTCGCCGACCTTTGGGTCCCGTTCCAGTCGCGTTCGCTTGTGTTGTGCCTGCTGTGCCTTCTGTGCCTGCTGTGCCGCTGATCTGACTCGGCACAGCGCGACGCCACGACTTGGCCCCTTGCGCATTGTCAGGAAGGATGACGATTGGGTCTTCATTCCAGTAACTTCCCATTGAGAAACAGACCGCCCCTCCTCCTGCAAGCACAATCTCGCCTCGAGAGGTTGAAACGGCCCCTACACCCACTAGCAAAGGCCATGTCGTTGGCGGCAATGCCTGCATACTGGGATGCTCCACATCGATGGTCGTGTCCTTGCATGTTAAGAGCAGGAAGTCGTCTGATAGAGAGTGGATATGCTTCTGTGAAACACCTCCAATCAACAGCAGAGAATCGTTCCAGGGAACTAGACTGGCACCTATACGCGCGTATGCAGAGTTCTCCAAGCTGCTGCGAACGTCATTGGCGCGGTCCTTAAAGTTGAGCCTAGGTGTTGGTGTGGCGGAAATGGACCACTCCCACACCGCGTCTTGTACGACCACGCCGCTCTCGTCTTGTCCACCTGTCAGCAACCCCCAATCTTGAGCAAAATCGATCGTGGACATCGCGGCGGCGAAGCGTGCAGACGGGCGCGGTCCGTCGACGGGAATGCTGTTCCATCCGCCGTTGGCAGTCCATAAGGCACAGTAGTGTTCGGCATCGAGTACTGTGCCGTCACTGGCTTTGCCACCAAAGACAAAGACGCCATGGATCTGTGATTCCCCACTTCCTAGTACAACAGCAACAGCAGAATGGCGGTACCGGGCTGGCATCAGGTCGTCCACTTTGGCCCAAGCTCCCTGGTTGAAGAGCCAGCAATCTGCATAAGCCTGGGTGGGCGATCCGCGGCCTCCGACCAACAACGCTTCACCGTTGCGCATTGATGTGATAGTATGGCATACGCGGGCAGCAGGCAGCAAGCCACAAGGCTGGATGGTACGATCCCCGTTATGATCCTCCCGCGTCAATGTGTCCATATCGGCGAGACGGGCTTGCGTCCCTTGACCTCCGTGGAAGGCCACCGAGTCCTTGTCGAAAGCGAAAGCTGCTGTGAAACGACGTGGCGTCACGGCACCACCACCCGATAATTTCAAGGTGTGAAGGGTAATACTTCCCGCATCAGCGGCTTTCCTGCACCCTGTGGTGGCTGTTGCCTCGCCATAGGCTAACTCAGTCGGTCCACTTTGCTCTGCATTTGAAGCGACGAGTAGGAAGTAATGACCCCCAAAGAGCGCAAACTCTTCCCACTCGTCAAACGGCTCCACTGCATTCAGCCCGCGTCTAAGGGTGGGAGGGGTAAAGCTATCATCAGACCATAGATCCCACAGATTGCGGGCCATGGTTATTGTGGGCCATGCTGCATTACGGAAACGAGCGGCTTGCTGGTTTAGTGATGAATGCAACTTAACCGCGTTGATTGATGCTTGTAGCTTGTCGAAGTGAGACAGCATTGTCTTGGCAAAGGGATGAGCTGGGCCTTGCGGAAGGTACTGTTCTATGCAGTATGGAGTCAGTATAAGCGAACTGGTACATACACATGAAGGAATGAATACCTAGTATGCAGAAGCGAGCTACAGATGTTAGCATAGCTTATGGGCAGGGTTTGACGAATCTGCATACCGTCTTCGATAGTACTAGCCCACTGTATGAGAGCATCAGAGTCCTTTAGCGGCATGTAGGTCACAGACACTTCGGCGACGAACAGGATTGAAGACGAGGGGACATCGAACTCGGCCCGCAGAAGTCGTTCGAGTGTGGCAAGGTCTTTCAGATCGCATCCAAGAGCCATGTAGCTGTCGCTACGAAGATATACAGGCTGTTCGGACTGACGGAGTTTGGTCCTGAGCAAGGCGTCTCGAAGAAGACCATTGCTAAGCATGGTATCTCTCTTGCGTTGCATCAATTGTGGATAGTCGACGTCGACGAATGTAGATGATTGCGTGAGGGCCGGATACCTGTGCCAAAACTGGAAAGGCAAGGGATCACTTTCCGGACTTAGTAGCTTCTCACTGTGTTAGAGTCGAGACGACGGATGTCTTACTCACTATCCACATCCTAGGTTCACCACAATCTTGGGCTTTCCGTTCTCTTCTTCCAGAAACCGGCGGACTACTTGTTCAATAGCATGCATTCGTAGCCAATACCCGCGATTGATCAACGGATCTGAAGGGCATCAGTCCATGTCTCACGTGCAAGTGGTATCCAAGTGACGTACTGCGTCGAACGAACTTTGGTACAAAAGGCTCATAGAAGTCAGGCTCATTGCTGAGATAGAGTTTCGATACGCTTCTCTTGGACACAATGCTGCTGTCATTCGTCTGACTTTAATATTAGTCCAGTCGCTACGAGGATTCATGGGCGGAAGAGGCTGGGGACCTCACGTTCATGATATCCACATCTCTTCTCTCGCGCAGGGATTTCTGGTTACCCTTGCGCTTTGCAGCAGCCTTCTTGGAGCGCATCTTGGCGTCTTTGGCCATGTTCTGGTCTTCACGATGGTGTGGCCATGGTCTTGGGAGAGGAATGATTTTTGGAGCACCAGCCACTACGCGGGGCTAAGCTGACGTCGGGATCCCTGCATGGGCGCGTGAACCATCGTCAGACGGCGGTAGCTGCAACCTACGATCAGGCCCAGGCTATCTTTTTCTATCACTTGCACCGGCGTATACACGCATTGCTATCGGCATCGCAATCGCTCGGGCCTGCGATTACCTTTGCGCACCCGCTTGTAGGGCTTGGACTCCCGCGAACGGCGGCCAACAGCTGCACCGAGCTATCACGCGGATAGTCCCCAGCCCTCGCAGCACCCGGAACCACGCAGGCAACGCCAGACTCCCGCGATGAATTTCGTAACCTTCAACCAGGACCACAGCCATCTAGGCGTCGGTATGCGCCCTGTCTGCTACCCGCCCAATATATACTGACTTAATCGCACAGGCACGCCCAATGGCTACCGCATATACACCACCGACCCGTTTAACAAGCAATCCGAGTCACGCGAGGGAGATGTCTCCAGCCTTGAGATGCTCTTCTCCACGTCGCTGGTAGCCCTCACGCTGTCGCCACGCGTGCTGCGCATACAAAACACCAAGGTTCGTCGGACAGGCGACTCTGGCCAGGCACGCGCTGACAAGGACAAGAGGCACTCGACCATATGTGAGATGACATTCCGGACAGCCATCCTCGCCATGCGCATGAACAGGAAACGCATCGTCGTCGTGCTCGAGTCGGAACTCTACATCTACGATATAAGCAACCTGCAGATGCTCAAGACGGAGAAGACGTCGCCTAATCCTAATGGTACGTCGCAAGAAGCAGCACTTCACACATACTGACTGGCATAGCGATATGCGCTCTCTCAGCATCGTCCGAGAACAACTACCTCGTGTATCCGCTGCCCACCAAAGCCGCACCCGCTACCTTCCAGCCGCCTTCGCACGCGCCGCCCAAAGCCGATCACATCGCACCCACAAGCGGAGAAGTCCTTATATACGATGCTACAAAAATGGAGGCAGTCAACGTAATTGAGGCGCACAATTCTCCGCTATCTTGCATTGCGCTGAACAGCGATGGTACCCTGCTGGCGACGGCATCAGAAAAGGGCACCATCATCCGCGTCTTCTCCATACCCGATGCGCAAAAGCTGTACCAGTTCCGGAGAGGCTCCATCCCGGCCAGGATATACAGCATGTCTTTCAACTCGACATCGACCTTGCTTAGTGTATCGTCGGCGACCGAGACTGTCCACATCTTCCGCTTAGGAGCGCCCAACAGCAGGAGTAATAGCGTATCTTCCGGGCCTAGCAAGCCCATGGGCGCGTCTCATGCACGTAGCGGAAGTCGAACGAGCCAAGAGACAGCGGATGAATTCGGTGCCAGCACAGCAGATGTATCGACTCCAGAGCGGAAACCCATCAATCCCACTTTTGGGAGTTTGATTCGGCGCACATCGCAGACCGTTGGAAAGTCCTTCGCCGCTACCGTCGGCGGATATTTACCCAGCGCTGTAGCAGAGATCTGGGAGCCCTCGCGCGACTTCGCGTGGGTCAAGATACCACGCTCTCCGACAAGCTCTTCCACGGGACCTGTCAGGAATGTGGTAGCGCTCAACAACAACGGTCCTCAGATTATGGTAGTTACCAGTGAAGGGAACTACTATGTGTTCAATGTGGACTTGGAGAAGGGAGGCGAGGGTACACTGTACAAACAGTACTCGTATGTTGTCCGCTCCCTTACTGCCTTTTGATACCTACTAACGCTGACTGCAGCCTTCTTGAACCGAACGAACTCGCAGCAAGCAACTCACAGGATCTGCCGGAATAGATATCCCACCACATGGCCCGATGTACTTTCCTTTAAGCCTCTTATTCTTCTTCTTGCATTGCCTCTGGCGTATTTGGTCCCACATTATTCCCCACGGGTTGGCGCACATGCCTTTGGAGTAGCACGATAGTCTTGATTTACGCATAGGTGCATACTGAGCATTCCCATGGCTCGGCAATATTACTTGCTTTTTGCGGAAACTTTGATCTTGACAGTGATGTCATGCAAGTAGTACAGTAGAGAGATTATCGAATCTGGCGCTTGCATCGTGCATGAACAGATATCGTGCATTGCTCTAGCGCGTTCCCGTGCCCCGCCCACGCGTCATTGGCCGCAGCCTGAACTCCAACCATGGTGCATTTATTTCCATCGACCTTGGAACTTCTTCACACCACTACGCTTCTATAAACCATACACGAGCTATAACTACCTTCAGGAATCCCTTCATCCACTCCGCGAAACTTTGACGACCACAACGCACCCGGGATCCGTAAAGATGGTACACCAGAATACTACGGGCAACCCGCTAAGCTCGGGTTCGCTCGCGCTGTTCATGGCAACGTCGCTACCAAAAGGCGAATCTTCACAGCTCAAGAATGGCACCGAAGCCGTCGCACTAGCAGTACACGCCGGCATGCTTGCTGTTGGCTTCCGCCTGATCGGGCTGGGCGAAGACGAGCGCATAGGTAAGCACCCGTCTCATTCACCCTTACCTTTACACGTCATAACTCGGGAACTTATAGAAGCGCACGCAGACGCCGAAAACCCAGAGTCGTTACCGAAAGAATGGAATGCGTCATCCTCATACGCTTTCAGATACGCCCACGCGCAGTCAGCCATGGAGTACCTCGTCAAGGTCAATAGGTTGGGAGGCAAAGCTGTCGTATACGCTCTCGCGCTCGGCGATGACAAGACCACACATTTCGAAGTCACGACCAAGGACTACATATCCGAATCACAATTACCATTCAGTGTGTCTGAAGATACATCAACGGAGCAGGTGTCGGAGAAGGTGCAAGAGCTGTTCATCTCGCCAGGCAGGCTGAACGACCTCGGCTCGCTCCTCAAGATATCTGTTATACAGAAGCTGGCACCCGGGCTTAACAAGCCAGGCTACGAGGAGGGCAACACCGACCGCGAGCGCACCCCTACAGCGGATCGGCAAGAACCACAACGAGGGGGACCTGCCAACCCACGGCAGCCCCCCACTGAACCGGAGCCCGCACGACCATACCCTTTCAACGATCCTCTCGCCGCACAGCCAGGCTTGGGGCGGCATCTACCAGAACCCATACCCGGCTTTGACGACGAGTTGGGCATGAACAGACAGCCCGGTCGCATGCCCGGTAACAACCCCATCAACATTGGGCATGACGATTTATATCCACAGGGTCTCGGACCTAATGATCCCCTTCGGCCACACCTAGCAGGAGGGCTGCCACGACCTGGCGGTTTTGGCGGCGGCGGGATGCATCCCACATTCGATGATCCGCTGTTTCGCGGTCAAGGCGGACAAGGTGGATATGATCCCAGAGCACCTCCGGGGGCGCGTTACGACCCTCTAGGACCAGGCGATCCGTTTAGAGAGGACAGAGGAAGAGGTCTCATGTTCCCAGGCGGGGGCGGGTTTGGAGGGCCAGGTGGTTTTGGCGGAGCAGGTGGACGACCACCGAATCCATTCGGTGGCTTTGGTGATGGAGACTTCATCTGAGCATCCAACAACAGATTGGTGACGGGCAGAAGCGATAGGTGAAGAAGAGAGGACGAACAATTCACGAATGACGATTAACACGGCAGTATGATACGGCGTAGTAGTTGACGTGCATGCGGCACAGGCAGGGCAGTGCTGCACCGCCTCAACACTGCATCTCGGTGCTTGCGCAGGTACGATATGTAGATGAACATTATTATATTTAGAACGACAGACGTCAATACCCATCATGACAGTTCCATAGCGAAGTCTCTGTGATCGTTCATGCGATGAGCGAAACCCATCGAGCGTCAGTGCTGGGGCTTAGATTCCCCACCCACTTCAAGATACCAACGATGAAGGCAGGCGAAGCAAGACCAGCGCTTCTAACAATACCGATGCCTGGACTCATGCGCCCTTCATCGAAGTAAAGTTTGAGTGGACAGGCGTCTCCCAGACGATATTCTAGCCTTGGGATCCCAGCCGCCAGCAGAAGTTCAGCAAATGCCTCAAGGCATTCCGGTGAGCATCGTCACTAACTCCTGCTGCCTGGCAATAACTCAGCTTCTGCCCAATACCAAGCGGAGATGTATGTGATGAGGTAGAGTCACTTGGCCGTAAGATATGCCTGCCAGTACCTGAAGTCAAGGTTTCCATGACCAACGAAACATCTATTGGCATCTGCAAGGCATGCTATAATCGTGTCTAGACTGTGGTGTAACACAGTATGCATGAAAGATATAGTGTATCATCACGGAATGGTCCTTCACTGTACAGCAGCAAGGAGCCTGGGTGTTGTGATTGGAAGCAGCAAGACGTCTCGCTTGTACCGGGCCGCCACTGTGCAGGCCCTGGTCGTTCGAAAAGCTACCTCACCGTCATCAAAGACAGAGATTCAGGCGGTGAAGCATGCTCTCGCAGTGATGGCTGGTCTCGGTCACTCTGGCCTTTCGCTTGTCACGAACTCGCGTGTTACATTCTAATTTTGCTATGCAGTCAGTGCAGTAGTCTAACCAGCTGGATACTTCCAAGGTTCTTGTCTGCATGACAGAAGCACATCGTACCAGAAGTAGGCTCCTGCGTAAAGCTAGGAAACCCCATGTACAAGGAACGAGATACGTAGGTGGTTATGTGGTTTCACTGCACAATCTACTTCTTTTGGGGAAGAAGAAGCGAATCAAGCTACTACCTGCCTACTCCTTAGCTCCTCCCAAAGTCCTATACACACGGGCGAGCTCTTTGATGCTGTCTGGAGGCTTGATCAGGGAATAAGAGACGAGCTTCACGTCATGGCACTACCAGCCGTCCGCTAGTCACCTTAGTTTTGCGCCGACACAGACTCGCGACGCGGATGGTGGCTTACTGACTCGCTTTGTACATACAGTGGGAGTATCAACCATGGGCTCACCTTGGCCTATTTACCACGTCGTTGGGTCGCACATATACGGCTGAGACCAAAGGATCACCCTGACTGTGGTGGCGACCGACTGTATACTGCCGGTGGCCCAACCAGCGGCTGATGTCTCGTCGATGGTGGCTGATGGTCGACTTGGGCAGCGTCGCAGTACCTACTTTTCTGTATCTAGCATGTTTTCTCCAGTATCAAGCGTCATATGGTGTGATACTGGGACCCAACGTTTGATGTCAAATGGCGTGGGGTCTGAAAGCGCGCTTCCGGCGCACGGGCGTTCGGGGAGCGCGAAGAACGACCTCAGTGATTGACCTGATGTTACGGGCTGAAGACATGTGCGGTAAAGCTCGTAACGATAATCGGCGGCGTAGTGCCTGGAGGATTGTCGCACTTTGCGTCAGCCACTGCGGAGAGCTGATGCGTCTTACCTGCTTCCAGAAAGCAGCCTCACCCGTGAGGCACAGAAGCTTACCTTCACATCCTCATGATCCTACGAAGTCTTCTCGACCCATCTCCCCTCTTTTTTCGGCCCTAATTGAATACACTCCGAAGGGCGCCAAGGGCACATCGTCTCGCCTTCCGAGCCAATCAGTAGGGAAAGTGCGAGTACCATGCACAATTGATCTTTACCCACATGGACCGGTCACAGTGACAATCCAGCACGGGAGCAGACAGCCTACAGACATGGGAGATTCGGATGCCGGCATCCTTGCTGAGGCCTGTCTGCCGTGGGCCGTCGCAGGTCGCGGCGTCTAAGCGCGAACGGCTGAACCGTTGAGAGGGTAAATTTACCGCCATTCGAGACCAATGTTAGCAGGTATAATCGACTTGTCACTTTCCTGTTTCGCATGTCTCCTGCCTAGACAGGCCAATATGCGTTGACCCATCCCGCTCGAATTATGCAAATATCCATCTTTTTGTCTCATCCCACCGGCCTAAATAGGGCTAAATGCATGGCGGTTGCTGATAACACTGGTGTGATGCCGATCGGCGGGCGGCTGGCGCGTAATCAATGGCCACGAGAAGGCACAGTTCATCACACGTTGTGGCAACGGGCATATGCAGGATGGGGAATGGAGGATGCCATTTCTCAAATTGCAAAGACGGAGTCGATCCGGGTGTGACCGCTGTCGCATATTTGCTCTTGCCTGAGTTGGATTGTTGGACTGCAGGGTTTTCGTGTTGGTCTCCGTACCTCTCGGCTTCGTTTCGCTGCATATTTTTTTTTATCCACAAGGAACGCTTTGTATAGCTCGGTAAGATTTGTCCTGCAAGAAGCATCCTGCCGGGAGTCGTGGACATGCGCGTGCCGGCGTCGTTGGTCGGACTTTCGTATCGATTGGTGTGACAGCGTGTCTGAGCGCCGAGAGATCGCTACCAGTCTGCTGGATGTGCTGTCATCTGCAATGCAGCTTGCGAGCATCATAGCTCGACATCGCCGTCTAGTCATTTGAGTTTTCGATGCTCGTACGATTTTCAGGCAGGAAGTCAGGGTTGTGCTTCCCCGCAAGCGAAATGAGGAGATCCAGGCTTATCCCCCGCGGAGGGTTCTTGTCTGCGCTCGGTTTGCGTTCATCGTTTGCTATGATCGGGCGGCACAGCTTCGCGCCCACTAAGTCGACGATCTCGGGGAATCGGCCGTTTGTGGACAGCAAACGCTTGCGGGAGTTTCCAGTTGCCGCACCGATCTGGCTGTGCCTCACCGTTGTGAGATTGCAGAAAGGGGGCCGGGGGACGCGGACGATATGCATCTCTCATCATTTTTGTTTGACATTTGAGGCTCAACGACAAGGCTGCTTCTGCAATCGTCGCAAATCACGGGGCTACAATATTGGATGGCATCCTGCCACAGTGCCGAAGCAAGGGAAAGGCCGTAGGTATGCCAAGCGTCCTAACTGTTTGAAGATGGACCCCGAACCCGGCGAGGCTGATTGTGAAGATGAACGGAGATGCCGCCAACATTGTTCGCGGACATGCCTAGAGGATTTAGTCCGGCATCGTGAGGGTGATGGTATTCTTGAATCAAGCGCTTGGAGTGATACGGACCCTTCGAACACCGCTTCGCGTCGGACTAAGTTATACTTAGACTGCACATACCTCGATACCCCTACTGCGTCTAGTAAATGGCAAATAAGCCTCAGAAAAGCGCTCAGCCTCACATTGAGGTGTTCTGTCCGGTGTTGAGCAGTTTGCGTTCCACGCGCCCAAGATGTGCGGACTAACTACGAACAGTATGTAGCTCGCCGCCTTCCTCTTCGATCGTGGATGGCCATCTGCCAAGTCACCAAAGTTACAGTAGGATCACAAGCGTACCTAGCTCCTGGTATTCGGTCTGGGTTTTGCATAACATTAGTGTCGCAATACAGTACCACATATAGTTCCAAGGTTCGGCTTGTATCTTGATTTGGTACGCTGTCCGTGCGTTCTTCGATGCCATTGGCCGGGGAAGAAGCATACCGTACCCGAACGTAGTAAACCGTCTTGGGAAATTCGTACGGTTGGTAGATATACTTGAAAGAACCCTGATGAGCTTCTAGTGGATACCGGAAATATATGGTATAATTCTCCGTTTCAATTCCCGAGCATGAAGACAGTACGCCGAGCTAACGAAAAAGATCGTGTGGTATAGGTGTGGTTTACCGATCTTCAAAGTTGGCCCTGTGTTACGTGGACAAGTCAATACCGAAGAGTGCAGTCCCAATTTTCTGCCCTATGCAAAACACCATGCTTCCAAGGTGAGGAAAGATTCCCCGTTGATAGCTCCACTGGTTCTGCAGGGTATTGTGTAGCTTCGGCACTCAGGGCCACTGCAAGAGTCAGGCTGGCGCTGTATGTGGGTGGAGACTGTCATAAGCCCTGAGCTGCTCCACTGCAGCCGGCGGATCGATTGAAGCCGTTAGCGCCATACCCCTGCTCGACGCGAGAACAGAATTTGCTGAGACCGAAGTGGAAGGGGGGCCTAACCAGCTGTGACCTCACGCACTTTCCAAATGACGAGACGGGCCAGTACAGCAAAGTCAGAGTAGAGAAAGAGAGCAAGATTATCCGAGTTCATCTTCTCATTTTGAAACTGTGTCATACCTTCACAGGAAGCGCATGTGCGGGCTGGAAGCACCCACCATTCGACGTTGTTTTTAGCTGCACTGCACACACCTCTAGCGAGGCGGCGTCTATCGCGGACTGTGGACGCGGCACCAGACATCGCTAGCAGGGGTTTTGCGGCTCGCGCGGGCAGCGGAAGCATCGCGGCAACTCCAGGTTTTTTTAACGCCTTACCGATCGACTCGGAACCTAGAAGCGCCGTCTAGCGCTTTGGGGAACGCGATTCGCACAACATGGCGCCAGGAAATGTGCGTGCATGGCAACCGCGTGGTGTTGCGTCCAGTATGTATCCAGTGCCATGTGTGTGGTTTTCCAGTAACCTGTACCAAGGTTTGGAACGTCAGATTGCACGAACAGCATTCGGCTGTCTTCTATGTGGTATCGCAAGAAGCGGAGACACAGATGACTTTGGATTTTGACGTCGCTGGGGTCTCTGTCACGGAGGCGGAATCTCTTCTTGCCACTAGGCTGCGAGATTGCACCGGCGTGATTGTCAGCCAGCCTAGCA